TGGTGAGAGGTCGGAGGGGGAGGAGGCCGGCGACCGCAGGGGCCGCACGCCCCCAGAACGCACGCAGCCTCGAGCACACTTCACACTGTTAGAAAACCGAGCCACGAGGGTGGCAGAGTAAAGAAAGGGCAGAAAAGCAACCTCACCAAACCTGACCAGCTCTCATGGAGAGCTGAAGAAGGGCACCATGGTGACCTGAAGAGAACCAAGAGACACCGGGCATGGCGCAGAATGGCGCTGAACTGGCCAGGGCTCATGGTCAGGGGGCAGAGTCACAGGGTACTGGAGAGTCCCACGAGTTCCTGGTATAGGCCTGGCAGGTCCAGTAGCCTATTGTCCAAGCGCCAGCTAGACCTAGGATCTTTATTTCAAAATAGCCTACACATATCTAGATGTTTACCATGTTGAAAATGGACATTTGAACCAGCAAGTCTAAGAAGACTCCTCCGGCACTCAGAATGATGCTACAGATTTATCCTAAGTTAAAAATAGAAACAAAAGCCAAGTCTACCGGAAGAACTTTGACGGTCTCCGAGCTAAAGTATCCTGGAAAAAATAGAGAACATCAGTGTTCATGACAAATGCTTCATAACCCAACATGCGCTAGTTAGGCTTTTAGACAAATATAGGCACATGTAGGCTGGAGGCGTGGCTCAAGTGGCAGAGCACCTGCCTAGCACCCTGAACTCAAACCTGAGTGCTGCCCTCCCACACCCAAACCCCATAAAAACAGAGCCAAGTAAAGTTGTATATGTGGTCATTTAGATCCTTGAGGTCTAACCCTATTTACATAGTAATCCCTTTTGACATGACATGGTGGTTGTTTATGTGTCCAATTCAGGCACAAATCCATATATTTATATTTTGCATCACCTAACAAATTCACTGAAATCTAGCCACTGATGAATAACACTCCGTTTAAAACAAAATAGTCTTAAACTGGGAGAGAGCAAGGGAAGGAGTAACATTGTCCAAAAGGAAATGTACTCTTTACCAGACTTATATAATTGTAACCCCTCCATATAATAACCATAAAAATTAAAAAACAATTCTTTTGGAATTGTGAAAAAAGTGCTTTTCTACTGTCCTTCTAATAAACAACTCAGTCCAACAACAACAAATTCCTTTTTATTGAGATACAAATGTAGGGGAACAAAGTAGTTCCAAACAGCAACAAAGTTATTAGAAAACCAAATGTTGTAACCAAACTGAAAAAAAAAAAAAAAAAAAAAAAAGAGCAGTTTTAGTGAGCCTGGATGGATTACTACTGCCTTAGCTAGGAACCAGGATAGATTAGTGCTGCCTTAGCAGGAAAGCTAAAGGGAGCAGAGCTGAAGGGAAGGAGGCCAGGTCTCTTTTTTTTTTAAAGGCCACTATTTTGCCCTTTTTGTTTTGATTTTTATTAAATTAATTTTAATTAAGCTGGTTTGATGGGTTTCAGCAAGAAAATAACACAATTGCAACAAGCTCCTAATGTGAAATTTAAGACAAAAACACTACATCAAAAGCATTGGCTATATTAAAATATGCAGGAGAGTCAGACATGCTCAGCTCATGAGCAGCTATCTGTGTTTATTACAAAAAAGCCGTCTCTATATCACAGAAAAACACCATCACTTAGTTACCTCATCACATTTTGAAGCTTTTTTTAAAAAAATAGATCTTTACATTTCCCCTACAGGTTCTAGGCTAGTCTGATAAAATGCTTCAAATGTTGCATCTAAAAGAGTTTCTGGGATTTGTCTGGCTGGCTTTGAAGCAAGACCCTCAGAGCTCAGCCTCTTGAGTGACTAGGATTATAGGAGGAAGCCACCTGTGCCCAGTTGAAAAACACGACACTTGTTTGCAGAAGGCAGACAGCTTTGGCAGCTTGGAATCCTCTCAGGCCTTTGTGCTTTTTCCAAAAACCAAAACCAAAAAAAACCCCACATTTTATAAAGACCGTTTATTCTACAGTATTAAAGTTTACTGGATAATAAATATAACTTTAAGCAATCCAAGCCGTCAAAAACATTGGATGCCAACGTTATACAGCTTGATAACCCATCCTGATTTTTGCTGTTTTGGAGAAGGAAAAGCAGCAGAACGAAGATGATGAACTGAAGGTAATCTCACCTTTCAATGTCTTCTTCTTTGTATATTAGTTATAAAAATTTAAATATCCTCAGAGATTAATATTTGCTGGTTCATTATGAAAGCATCCAAAGAATATACTCATATGACTATTATACTTATATAAAATTATAATATTACCCACATATAAGGCAACAGAGACCAGAGCATCTTATTTGTAGCAAATTTTATTGTCAAATAACCATAAAAGGTATCCAGTTACTCATCAGAATAATTTATAAGATCATGCAGTATGTAAACAGAAAGTTCCAAAGGAAAGAAACATTCCTGACAATTCTAATATGGGCAGGGGACAGTACAGAGCAATGCATACTGGGAATCTTCTATCTGGATTTTTATTCTTGCCTGCTTTGTGTCATTCAGCACGAGATAAAATGGAATGCAAAGAAGCAAAAATTAATAATCCAAGAGGAGATACATGGGAGGGAGGGCATAATTATATTAATATTCACAGAGAAAGGTGGCAAACTGGGAAGCTTTGTTTGATTTAAAAGTATCTATTTTGCAACAGACTGGGGAAAAAAAGAAGAGTGGCAATCATGTTGCTACTTACATTACTGTTCAGAGCCTCGGGAGGTACCATGCATGGTCTGAACGTTGTGTTTTGATCCTTGCTATGAAACTGGATAAAATAAAATGGAAAAATTTTCCCAGGTGCCATTCAAAATATGTTTAATTTAGAATTCTATTTTCAAAATAAGAAGAATCATAGTATTATTTTGAAAACAAAACGCTATAAGATGGCAAAGGAGGTATGATTTTTAAAGGCTTAAAATCAAACTATAAAGGAAACAATTGCGCATCAGAGGGGCATATTTTTTAAATAATTTTTATCTTCTGAATTGATTCCCTATTGCGAAGAATAGAAAAGAGATCCACATGACCAACCCAGACTTCATGGATATTTACGGTCTCAAAGAAAATACAATGGCATTTTAGTCATTTGGACTAAATGTTACTTTTCTTCTCTTCCCCTGATATCTAGAGACTAACCTGTCTCAAGTACACCATTTTTCTACAAGTAGAGCTAACTTTGTAACATGCTTTTAAAAAATGGAGTAACAAAATTCTATACAAAACTAGGTGTTTAGGACAACGGTTACCATTCCTAAAATTCTCTTTAAGTGCTAGAATAACATGAGTCCAAGTTTCTACTTCAGAATATCCCACGTTTAACACCCTCTACCACAATGACCTTCACAGGTGCACTACAGTAGAAAATGGCATAATACTATCAGGTTCCTTTTTTTTTTTTTTTTTTAAAGAAAATGCTTTCACTCCAAAGAATGTACAATAGAGTCCACTGAGATTTCATTAAGTAAAGCTATTTATTTTTCAGGTAATGAAAATCACCAAGGTGATTTGAGAGTATTTACTTTGGTTATGAAGCCTTACTCTTATTTGAGTATCAAAAAAGTCTATCATCATTAGAATAGTTTTTGTCAACCGAAGCTTTCAGATACTAACTCTCTGAAAACCTATTTATTTGTGCCCATAATTAATTTACGAGAAGTGAAACTAGCCTAAACATCTGGGAGGTAGAAGCCAAAATATAGTGCACTCATCTAAAAAAGCTCACATTTCTTCTGTTCTATGCCAAACAAATTTTCAGTCACCCAGGCTGACAGTTGTGTTTCATCGGAAAGTGGGATAAATCTTCCAACTCTCCCTCATGTGCATTCTTTTCTCTCTCCTCACTCAATTACTACTCTTTGCCTATCTTCACACACACACACACACACACACACACACACACAGTGCCTGTTTCAAATTTATATTATTTTTTTCAGATGTCTAATTTCCCTCTTCAGTCTCTTCCTGTATTTCACATACCAGACAACTAGTTAAAGGTTTGTAGAACCAGGCAAGAGTCCAAAACATGTCCCTGAAATTGCCATCGGTGACATAACAGGAATAGAAGGTAAAGCTTACAGAACTACGATTTGAAAGGCTGGTTGAAAATGTATTGGAAAATCCATTTCCATTGCTAGAGTCATAGATATAGCTTCACTGTGGCCTAAGCTCTCGTGTGGCTAGAAAACAAACATTATCTCATGCTCACTCAGAATGGTCTCCTTGCCAGGGTGTATTGCTTCTCTGTTTTAGTAGCAAATGTTGTCTCTCCTTTCTACATTTCTTTATTTCTGTTTTAGTAATCAGGAAATGAAAGCATTGAAGAAAACATTCAAAATTCTGAGCATATACATAAGGGAAATATTTAATGTCTGTCATTCATAAACTTACATCATTTACATAGGGTTTGTTTGTATATAATAAAAAATTTCATCATCATAATGAAAAATTTTTCTGGAAAGTACTTTCTATGTTAATTTGTTTAACATATGCTTTGGATACACAGCTAAATATGAAGAGTTTTTAAAAGTCTTTCTTCAAGTATTCCCTTAAACAATTAACAAACAAAAAAATCTTATTCCTAAGTATTTGCTTTTCCTCTCACTTCTTCCTGTGTTTGTAATATTGTCAGTAACTGAACGACACAAAGATTGGACCTTTTCATAGTGCAGAATATATTTGTATATTCAATAAATTTTTTCATTGCATAGTGAATATGTAAACTCATAGAGGATCTATAGATTTTACCCTAAATAATCTAAAAAAGTTGCTAAAATTTTACACAGTAATTTATTCTGAGGTTTTCTTTTATGTAATTTGGGTTTACTTGTGATTTTTTTAAAGATGTGTAAATTGAATACAACAAATGAAAATAAGTCATGAGAAGTTATAAAGGAAGAAAGTAACTTCACCCTAGACTAACCAGGATTGAACCTCAGTATGCTGTTTGAGGTGCTGTCTCTTTAAGACAGCGTTCGAAATTAACTTCAACCATGTGTGTTTAACATAAAGCTATGTTTGCGTCAAATCAAATGTTTATTAATGAAAGCTATTTTTTATACAAGAAACAGCAAAGATAAGCCATCATTACAGAGATGTACACTAGAAGTGACACATGTAAAAAGTTCATGCAGAGGCTTCTGTTTCCAAAGAAAATAGTAGACAATAATACTAAAATTACTGGGTTTGGAACTCTATCTTCTTAAATGAGTGATAGCTTCTCTCTGAATTTACAAGTGGAAAATGCCATTAACAGATAGGACTAATACACATCAGCAGGCAGGTAGGGAGAGTGCTTGTGAACTTTATTTTACAACTATTGTGCTTAACAAATGTGTGGGGTTTTTTTTAATAATAATGTTCTCCAAATGAGGGGTGGATCTATTACTGCCAGGTTGCTCTGGTTTTATACATGGTTTATCTAATTCCTTTTTTAAGCCACATAATTTAAGCCTTCATTTGTGTCAGACATCATAAAGAACAGAAAGTTTGTTAACATTCAATAGATGACATTTAAGTCTCATTCTCTCTCTCTCTCTCTCTCTCTCTCTCTGTCTCTCTCTCTCTCTTTTGGCTCAATAATTTTTTTAAATGTATGATTATCATAACCTAATAGTGTCTTTGTCTTCACTGCAGTGGATTTCCGATCAAACTTTTCCCCTTCTTTTAATACTTTAGGGAATTTTCAAACGTCGGGATGTTTGGCTGTAATGCCCCAAGATTTGTTCTCCCTGAAAGAAATCATAGTGACAATTTATTAACTACAGAGCAACTTGGCTTGTAGGGGTCTTCAATTTCTATTTAGATTTACAAATATCCATTTGTGCTAAATAGACCTGACATTAACTCTTAATCATATTTAAGGCTTCTTTTCATGCAATTACTTTATCTGCTCATTTATCTTTTTATTCTAAAAATTGAATGGATGTAAATCAGTGGGGCATTACTTTTATTAGAAGCAAACATATTTAAAGGTAATTTCGAGATTGAATTACACTTGCATATGCAATGATGTGTGCATTTATGAATCAGAAGTTTGAAAATCTAACGTCTCTTTGTATGTTTGAATATTTTTCTAATTGCACTACTATTTTTATAGCTTAGACACATAGATATTGAAAACACACTAGTACAGGTAAAACTTCAATAAAACTGATGGGAAATAAAACTCCTTAGATTCAAAGTGGTTTATTCACACAAATTTAATAGGATATATCACAATTGTTTGGTCCATAAATATTTAGGGGCAATAGTTTCTATACAATGCAATTTTATCAATAAACAAAGAAACATGGACAATTTTTGCTAGACCACTTACTGTACTATAAACACGAAGCTCAATATATAAGATTATTGAATTTATCAACTATATTTGAAAGAGTGCACAACTGCTTTCTATGACATGTTTGTCCTCTCTAACAGGATACACCATAAAAAGGGTTTCAGAAATAAGAGGTAAAACAGTACAAAACTAGAGAGGTGTCAAAAGGGCTTAAAACAGTTAATTTAACAAACAACACATAGATCCTGATTTTTCACAAACTTACTCCCAAGTTAGATCATAAGGCACATATGAGAACTGAGTTATAATTAGTCTACTTAATAAAGTAGATCTAGAGTACCATAGATTGTTCTGTCAAAGAACAAAATTTATAAGTATCAATAATTTACCTGTAAAGTGTGTTCATAAGATCTCAGCCTTACCAAGTTGTTTGGTCTGGTTAGTGGGTAAATGCCCAAAATGTAATAGAAATATGAAAAGTCAAGATTTAAGCTCCATATAAGATGATAACCATACTTGCTAAATATATAATGGCAATCACACCTTTCTTCTGTTACAGTGTTAACTTATCTTCCATCCTCTTTATTTTTTTAAAAAATAAGCTACTTTCTGTGCTAATTTTCTAAAGACCCTGAGCAAAAGTTACAATAATGCACTTTAAAGTGGGCAGTGAACTGTCAGTATGTAACCACACATTTATACAGCCAGAAGGACACCTTTAAAATCTATTAAATAGCCACTTTGACCACCAGAGCAGATTTAAGGGGTCCAACATAAAGTGGAGAATTTGTGCAAAGTTATTCTTAACAATCCACTAAAGCAAGACGTATATCTTGACTTCTTTTTTTTTAATTATCTTAGGAAATCCACAATCTAATTGGTATTTAACTACAACAGAAGCATAGAGTTGAACATTCACCACTGCCCAGACCATTAAGATTTTACCTTAAATTAAAAGGAAAAAAATGCTACTGTAAACTAGGAAATATATTCAGATCAGCATCCACGAGGCTTCTGAGTTTATCTACTTGAAGATTCATAACTTCAAAATCTCAATGTCAGAGATGCTTTTTGTTTTTTGGTACATAAATCAACCTGTGCCAAAATAAAATGAAGTAAAGGAAAACCAAGGTATTCTTACTGGTCTATGAAGGGGGGGGAGGTGACATGTTATTTATATAAATAGAATGCCAGTTACAATACTGTGGAACAGCTGAAGCCAACCAAAGCCAATTAATAGAGCTACTAATTAAAATTTTAACCAATTTTTGACTTCTTAAAAAATTATATTTTGCTTATTTCCATTTTCCCGGGGAGGGGGAAGAGAAAGTAACATAGAAAGAATGGTCTCAGAACTGGGTTTTGGGGTTGTTTTGTTTTTCTTTAGCATGAGAAGGTCAAAAAGAATTTCAACTTCTAGGTAGAATTTTGATGCATACTCAGGGAGTTTAAGTATTTTTTTAAAAGCTAAAAACCAAATAGCTAAGTCCAAAGTTTAGGGGATTGTACCTTCCTAGGAAAGATTTCCCACCCAATTGTTCATACCTATTAAAATTTGCTATTGTTAGTACTTTAATCACATTCCTCATTGGAATAAACAGTTCAGGTGAAAAATACTCAGTATATTCTTTTTCAGTTTAAATTCTCTTAAGTGGGCAGTTTTCAAAATTTAACAATTACATACAATTTCAAGATTTTAAAAAAATAACAAATATTCCAGTTCATGATTCACCTAATCATTTAAGCAGGAATATGATTAATCACCCATTATAATAACCACTCTTATTTTTTTTTCCTTTGAGACTCTGGAAATAAGTAACATACAATTTTAAGAGGCACTTATATTAGAATGATTAAAAACTTCCCTTACCGATTGAAAGATCTAATTAGGTTTTTTGTTGTTGTTGTTTAAAAAAAAAAGAAAAGGAAAGAAAAGAAAAGAAGAAAAGAAAACAAGTCAAGTAGACAATTTATGTTCCTTTAAAGGAGACCACACTGTTAAACTCATTACCAAGTGGCTATAGATGCTACACACCGAGCTGTCATTTATATCCCCCAAATGTCTTATGGGTGAAAAGGGGGGGGAGTCTTGTAATAAAATAATAATAATAATTAGAATCATAATAGTAAGTAGTAAGAAGAGGAAAGCAAAGCCATGTTAGAAGAGGTTGGTTAAGGTAGTTTGGGGGGGACTCCCCGGCTGGTGGCTGTCCAGGGAAGAGGTCACGGCTGTCACTACAGTTAGGGTGGGGTTAGTCAGGTCTGTTAAAGTGGTCGCTGTGCCCGGTGGAGTGAGACCGCCGCTGTCCGCCGAGGGCGGGGCCGGAAGTGAGGAGCCATCGGCTTTATCGACACCCCCATTCTCCTGCCGCAAAAGGTTCCTTCTGAATTTGGCTCGTGCGTTTTGGAACCAAACCTGCAAACCAATCCCAGTGGATTTCTTTACCGATTTTTCTTTTTTTCTTTTCTTTTCTTTTTTTTTTTTTTTTAAGATTTTTCTGTCTTCCTTTTTTTTTCTTTCCTACTTTGTTTTTTTTTTTTTTTCAAATTATCTATTTCTCCTTTTAAATGAAAAGAAAAAAACATATCTTGTCCCCCTTGGGAGGAGAAAGGTTTTCTCACTCTTTTTAAACAAAGAAATGGAAGTAATACTACAGATCTGTTTTCTTTCTCAACTGTATACATATTCTAACCCCCAGCATCAACAAGTACAACTTGGGAGACTGGAAAGGAGACACACAGAGAAGGGGTGAGGTGCTGGTTACCCTTATTTCTCCACCCCTGTCTTTTGAGAATACGGGAAAGCAGGGCCACTGAAAGTATATCTCAAATGCGGGGCCACTTTGGTGAAGTAGACATCACCCACGCGGGGTTATTCCTGAGTCTAACAAGAAATACTCCACACAGAGGGAGAGGGAAAAGAAAAAACTTTTGCAGGTCCCGAACAGGATGAACCCACCATTTGTGTGTATGTATATTGTGTACACACGTGTGCACGCACGTGTGCCATTACTGGGACCTGCGGCATATTATCTCTTAGCTCTTTGACTCAAGCCCAGAGCTCTAACGCTTGAGCCACAAAAACTCCACTTCCAGCTTTTTGGTAGTCAATTGGAGATAAGAATCTCACAGAACTTACTGTCTGCAAACTACTGGCTTCAAATCAGAATCACCAAATCTTGGCCGCCTGAGTAGCTAGGATTACAGGCATGAGCCACCAGTACCCAGCTACTGCAGAATTGTGGATGCCTGCTATTTATCACTGAGGAGCTCACAGAAACCCGTTATAAGAATTGTGTAGTCACAAGGCCTTACCATGGGGACTTTGGAGAAGCAACTGGACAGCAGAACTAGCACCCCGCTTTTCATTTCTGTTTGTTCAAATGGGGAAAATGCTTGCTTCTCTTGGTTACTGAGACACTAACAATACTTGGCTTTTCAGGAGTTGAGGAAAAGAAGAAGAAGAAAAAAAAAAAGATGCACCTGAATTTGCAAGGTCCTAACACCTGAACAGGTGGCAGGACATTTCCATAGCGGGACAGCACCACCGGCTCCCTCACCGAGCGGTGCGCTGAGTCGAGTGGGAATGGCAGTCTCTAGAACCACAACTATGCCCACAATCTCACTGGTGTGATATTGCACAGCAGTGGGAGAGAGACCCTTCTCCCCATCTACAGGGAGAAGAAAGTGGCCGCGTCTTAAAATTCATATGAAATGAAACAAAAACCTGGCTCTCTTTTTGGGGGGGAGAGGGGCCTCTAGGGACCCCAGCCAAATCTCAGTGTATCCTGTGAGGAGAAAACTAGGAAAAAACACTAATCAGAAGCAGAAGAGCTCATGGGGAGGAGGTCTGCGCACTAGCATGGGGAAGGGAAATGCACACACAGCCAACGATGGAAGCGTCTTACCTGCAAAACTCTTTTGGTCAAGCCTGTTTTCTGAGCGAGCTGCTTCAGGTCCTTGGCGTCTGGGTTGTGGTTGATGGCAAAGTAGGATTTCATGGTCCGCAGCTGGTGGTGCTTAAAGGAGGTGCGCATGCGCTTGGTCTTCTGTGAGGGGGCATAAGGCTGCTGGTCCCGATCCAAGTGGTCTGCCTCGTTCTCATTACAACCTGTTGCAGTAAGGGGGCACAAACTGGGGTTAGAGGCCTGGCTCAGGTGGGAAGGCGCCTGCCAATGAGCACAAAGCCTCAGAGACCAAGTTCTAGTCCTGGTCTCCTACCACACCCCACCCCACCCCTGAAAAAAGCCAAGAATACACAAACAACTGCTTAGTGAAAACTCTTGCAAGCTGTCTGTGGGAAGCTGCTTATGATCATGAAGACGCAGAGAAAGAAAGGAAACTGTCAGTCCGAGGAGGACAGTCAGCTAGACAGAATTGCCAGTTGACCAAACTAGTCTGCAAAGGTGCACACAACCCCTTTACCTACTACAAAATCTACCAGATACCTCTTCTCCTGGGTTTAGTGATGGGGAAGATATACAAACTCTAAGTGGCAAAAGGGTATGCTAGAGAGAGGGCTCCAATAGTGAAAGAGAGCGAGTCTTCCTGTGTCTTCCAAGACTATCTCGTGTGTGCGTTACTGGGTTGCTTTTTATCATGAGGCATAAATCCTGGGGATTCACCAAGGAAAGAAGTGGCTCAGTTACTACTTTTTTTTTTTTAACATTTCCTCATCTTTCTAGAACTTTCTCCACCAGGAAGAAGAAAATGTCTAGGAAAGGCAGAGGTATTCGAATATATATATAGTTTGATTTGCAAGTCTCATGTACATGTAAGAATATCACCTCTGAGAGTCTTTCCCACTCTGATCCGTCAGCCTTAGCTACGTGAGGAAGGAAGTACTTTTCCTCTGGAGTTATTCTAAGGAACATTTTTGGAAGAGGATGAGCCCAGCCTACTCCTCCCTGGGCTCCACACCTGACACCCTCCCCACAGCTTAGAGGGTGAAAGTCCTTACTTGCAAGCTCAGATCTTAGTCCCTTCTGCTCTGGTAATGTGGGAGTAGGAAGCGAGCGGTGGCATAGACTGGTGTTACAGAGAGAATGCAGACCCTCTCTCCTCCTCTAAAGCCTGCCTTGGCACCAAGGGCCAAGGAAGTCAGCTTTGAGCTCAGCTACAAAGTCTTCCTTTCCAGGATGGGAAGCGCACATTTAACAGGAGACTTCTCAACCCCTCAGAGCTCTGCAAAGGAAATACAACTACCAAGTGAAAACACTTGGCAAAGGATTTACAGAGCTGCCAACTTGGCAAATTCATGGCCCTCTACATGTCCAGACCTTATTTTATCTGGAATCTGACACACGTCATATCTGGTTGTACTGTTTTCCTGTATTTCTTGAAATCAACTGGATCCTATCGCTTGACAAGGAAAAGCCTTGATTCCAAAGAAAAGTAGAGCATCTCTGAATAGCACTACCATCCTCTTTTTTAAACGTGTTTTGTGCCTACAGTCTTCTTAGGATCACTTTTTTGTGGACTATGCAGCAAATCATCATATACATAGAGGTATAGATATAGAGGACTATTATATATTCAGTAGCTACATCTTATATATATTCAGCAAATATTATACATATCTATGTTTTGCAGTCATCAACCAAAAGATCAACTTCATATGGAACTCATTTAACAAGAAATCCTCCCTAATAAAACTAAGCATGGACTCATGTCTCATAAACACACACACATACATACCTCTGTACACACACACACACACACACACACACACACACGTGGGAAGACACACATTTGGCAAAAGAGCAGATGGTAAGTTCTTTGAGGCAAAGGGGTACATAAAAGGATGAACTGCATTCTCCTTTGGCTCTCCTGAGTAAAGTAGAAGACTTGAACTCAATGCATATTCAATCAAAATTGTGTGTGAGCATCTGTGTATGTGTGTGCTGGCCCTGAGGCTTGAACCCAGGACCTGGGCTCTGTCCCTGAACTGTCTGGCTCAAGGCTTGTACTCAACCATTTGAGTCACAGCTCCATTTCTGGCTTTTTTGCTGGTTAACTGGGGATAAGAATCTCACAGAACTTACTGTCTGGTCTGGCTTCAAATAAGAATCATCAAATCTTGACCTCCTCCATAGCTAGGATTACAGGCATGAGACACCTGCAGCATGCTTTTCAATCAAGATTTTAAACTCTTTATTCACCAACAAAATTGCAAGTAATTATTCATGCAAAAATCAAATTACCTGAAATTGCATATAAGTCAGTTACCTGAGCCTCAGTGTCTGTAAACCCATGAGAATGGTAATGGATTTCCAGAGCTAACCAGAATACACTTTACATTTTATCCTATTTCAGCTCAGTGGAACTAGGTCAAGTTCAAACAGTCTGCAGAATTGCACTTCTATATCCTGAAATGGGCAAGACCTCATCTCCTGGCTGGCTATGAAACACCACTTACATCCAGTAAACGGAGCCATATTTCACGACCAGAATACCCACATGCCCACAATGAAAAGGTCCAAGAGCCACGTGCTAGGCACTGGGGTCTTCTTCAAGGCAGATCTCCTTTCTATCATATGTGAGAGATTTCTCCCAAACAGCACATCAGATTGAATATCACAATGGGGAGAGAAGCCTTAGCTTGATGTTTAAATTATGCCTTTGTTCATTCCCCCTCCTCCCACTCCTCGGCAGGATTTCTCAGAAAGAAAGATGGCTCCCAACTTAGCTATATAATCATTCGTCTTTACAATGGATTTTGTTTTCTAAAAAATCCACAGTAAGATTTGATGGAAGTGATTTCCTGAATATGTTCCCTTGACCATGATCACCGAGTTAAAACTCAGCAGAGCATTTTAGTGTATTAAATACAATTGCCAGGGTTCTTGTCTTCATGTGAAATTATACAATTAGGTGTGGAAGGAGAGAGAATGTCAGGTCTTTATTAAATAAACAGTGCTATATATGGTTTTCATGAGGCTAAGTTAGTGCTTGTATTATGCCACTTAATAGAGAACCTATTTCTTCCTCAGAGTGAGTTGGTTCCTTCTTCCATGCTGTCTTCATTTAATGACAAATGCATTACCATATACTTGGAAATGACTGGACCGCCCCCCACTCCACCACCTATTTCTAAGCTTTAGGGGTATTTTCCCATGGAAAACATTGCTTTAGATGTCCACCTATAAGTACATATCTGCCACTTTTAAGGTTTATAAGATCAATGTATTTTATTTTCAGTCACTAAGAGATGATCATTTATTCTAAAGGTTTATAAGCCTTCTGAGAATTAACTGACTCCTGAGAGACCACTAGAGGGCAGTGCCAGGCCAATTTAACAACCACAGGCCTCAGAAGTTTGGGGCAGGGGGAAAAGAGAATCTAAGGAAAGGAGATATTGAGAAATGGCACAATAAATAAATAAATGTCTCTTAATTAATAAATTATTCAAGTAGAACTTGTCTATCCTAGACTAAATCTTCTCAGTTCTGGAGGGCTTTATTTCAGTATTTCAGGTAAACTTTCCATGTCTCTAAAATATCTGGAAAATTCATTTACACAGAGGTACAAAATAAATCAGAAATCTTATATGACATTTGTCTTGTATTCAGCTCTAAGAGTCCCTGGCCAAGTTTACTTCTCTGATTGTCTTTGAATCATAAACATGCTTTTGCATACATGCTTTTAAAAACACCCCTAGGTAAATTATATTTTGGTTCCCATCAATGTTATCTTCTGTGAGACTTTACATTAAAACAGAAATGGCAACATAAACCCCAAAGAAGGCTAAGATGATGAGCTAAAACTGTGGGCCTGTTTGACTTTTGACATTTTAACATGTGCCTAACTTGCTGAAGGGTTTCTGTCTAAAGTTGTGAAACAAACTGGGATTCAAGTCATAAAGAATTTTTTAATGGGTGTGGGGGGGAGGGATTTCTGGCTAGGCATCTTTAAGCCAATTCCTTGAGATAACTTCCACCTAATCTTAAAGAAATATGTATTGTTTTCTCCTATCTGAGGGAAAAGTCTAGAAAGAATGGAATGGGTGTTGGGGGAAGGGGGAGAAGGTTTGGGGGAAGCCAGCAACTTTTCCTTCTTTCAAGATCAAGACATCAGCTTTCTCTCTGACTTGTTCTTCTCGACTTGTTTGCAAGCTAAAGGTCGAAGTAGCACCAGAGGAGATTTTCATCCTTTCTAAGAAATGAATTTGTGCTCTAATTCTCTTCAGAGAAGAGAAACTAAATTTATTATTCTTAAAGCTCCCTGGAACTTTCTAACAGAAAGATCCAGTGCAAAAAAAAAAAAAATCAAATTTAGCTAATTAGATTAAACAAACAAGCAGAAGGCAGGCTTGCTCATAGTTTACCTAGAAATCGCCAGGCTTCTTCACTTATCTGGCAAAGGGAATCTCTTTTCCAAAGAACATTCTCCCCCCCTGCCCCAGCCCAGTTAATCCCCCCCCCCCACATTAAGATCCTGGTGAGTGGGTCTAGACTCCAACGTCAGCGTCTATGACTAAAGACCCATTAGTGCCCTGCTTTTCCTGCTACAGGGACCACACAACAAAGGATACAACTGAGGCACTGGGCAGAGTGGCCCCTAACAAAAGCCACTGCCCAGAGCAGGGGGAAGAGGAAGTGAGGGCCACTGCGGCTGCCCTGCATTGGCAAAACCCGGGCTGCCCGCTGCCCTCACACCTACCCCAGAGCCTGTTTTGCAGCCCCTTGCCTTTTGTCTTGATTCACTAACCCTGCCTGGCAGGAAGACAGAGAAGCTAAGGCAGCCTCGCTAGGATTCATTCCTCCTCTCCCAGCGCGGCCACCGTGGTGCCCAACCAGAAGGGGTTTGTGGTTTTTAGTGAGGGGAGGATGGGAGCGGGCACCCGGGCAGCGCAGGATTGCACCCTGCTTTCACTCTGCCTGGGATACTTCTAGCGAGTCACTTGACTGAATGCCGGTCCTTGAGCAGCGATTTACATCACCATACCAGGCGTGAGGACAGGGAGGAAGGGGCGTGCTGTGCGCTGTGGGTACCCACGCTTGATCTGCAGACTAGTTGGGTGTTGGTGATCATGAAAAGGTAGTTGTCACAAGAATGAAGAGAAGGAGGTGCTGCTTGCTGAGACCCTCCCAAGATAGGTCTGGGCCCAGAACAAGAAGCATGTAGGATCTTGAGCTGGGGAAAGTTAGCCGGGACTTTTCTTTTCCCAGTGACTGAAAGCTCTCCAGAACTTCCATCCACTGCACGTTATGTAATGTCCCACTTACATAATGTGAGGTTATGGTCTGCAGAGCCTCTGGGCTTCAGCTGCAGGACGAGCAAAGGACACGGGCTCCCAACACGGATCAAGAGGGGGTGTGTCCCAAAGCGAGGAAGGGAGAGTGTGCTGAGCCTGTTGCCAGGTTTTTTTCTTTCTGAGTCCTTTCGTGGGTGACGGTAGACCCCAGGACCCACCCGAGAGGCTCAGTCCCCACGGGGAGAGGAGGGAGATGTCCACGCCGAAGGGCTGCAGGGAATTCTGCTGTAGCACCCTCTTGCCAATTGTGTTGCTGATTAACTCTGGGCTGGAGGAACACAGCCCCCTAGCTCTAGACAGATGGGTTGGGCTCTGAAGTTCTGTGGGTTGGGTTTTTGTTGTTGTTTTTGTTTTGTTTTGAAACCTCCCAGCTAGGATCTATAATTTGGCTTCCACAAAAGGAATTGCCCTAGGGCTGTTTTGCTCTCCCTGGGAGCCAGAAACCAACGGGCTCATTAACTGAGAGGCGCACAGATCTGGCTCTGTCCGTTTCCAGGAAGACACTATGGAGGGCCCTGGCTTCTATGGATTTTTTTGGGGGGGGGGGTTGCCCTTTTTTGCCACACAGTCGAACAGCAAGTGCTACCTTCCTCTTGCCGCCTTCCCTCTTTCCTTCCCCTGGCCCTTCTGGGGGTGGGGGGCAAAGTCCCCACCTGAGGGGGGGCATAGACCCCGGGGGCGGAGACCTGGGCGTCCTGGGGACAGGTGAGGGGTGCGACCCACCTGAGTTGTAATTGACGATGTCCACTCCGAGCGCGGGGCTCTTCCGCTTGCGGGGCCGCCCCTTCTGCACGGTGCCCGTGCCGTTGAAGTAGGGCAGGGCCAGGCCGCCGCTCTTGGCCGCCAGCTCGGTGTAGCTCAGCGGCGGCGGGTACTCCCCATGCAGGAGGCTCTCGAAGTGCGCGCGGCAGTACACCAGGCTGTCCTTCATGCCGAAGTGGTCGCCCGTGGTCAGCGTCTTGTTGCAGGTGGAGCAGGTGAAGCAGCTTAGGTGGTAGACCGAGTCTCGGGCGCGCATGACCATCTCCGACGCAGAGATGCCAAGGTGGCAGCGGGCACATCTCTGCACAGAGAACCTTCTGGAAGCAAACAGGAAAGTCAGGGCGCCAGTGGATGCAAGCAAGGGCGGATGAATACAATCCGCAGCACCTGAGATTGGTTTGCAATAACCAAAGGTTGAGGCCTAAGAAGGCTCCAAGGGGACCAGACACCCACACCCACATCCATCTTATCCGCTCTCTGGCGTACTAGGACAACGATTCCCGTTAAAGCCGGCGGAACAGAGAACTACCTGCACCTACTTGCCATGCAGCGTGAAGATTTTTACAAAGAACCAGCCAGGCCCTGGTGGCTCAAGCCTGTAATCCTGGCCACTTAGCTCTGTGGACTGAGGTTCAAAGTCAGCCAGGGCATGAAAGTCCTTGAGACTCTGATCTTCAATGAACTAGTCCCCGAAGAAAGCCCGAAGTGGAGATGTGGCTCAAGTGGGTAGAGTACCAGCCTGGAGCTAATCAAGCTCAGAGACAGCACCCAGGCCCTGAGTTCAAGCTCCAGGAATGGCAAAAAGAAAAGAAAATTGAAGCACAAATTCAGAACACTATGGAAAGAAAGAACGTGCGCTCCCAATGCTGGGTGAACCGCTTCGGTCTTATTCCACGAATGACGGCGAGATTATGTGCTGTGGGCACGGATTTGAAAACATACAGAGAGCCCCAGAAACATAACTCCATGCAGGAAATCGTGTTTTTAAAGTATTTCCCTTGCTACTTCCAGGAATAAAGCTAGGTCACCTGTGAACTCCCTGATCGTTCCCAATGCAGAGATTCACCAGAATCCATGAGCGCGCCTTGGGCCCTGCGTGCTCTCTAGCTCGGGTCTCTCTTGCTGTAAAGGAAGCTGGGGGACTTCCGCGTGGACTGAAGTTGCACCCCGGCTTCGGTTCCTTTTCCAGTCACTTATAACCTTGCTTACAACCACAGCTACCACGAGCCCAGTGGGGTCCCAAGACAAGTCCGCCCAGTTTGTAGTAAGCGGAAAATTTAACAATAACCCGCTCTCGTCTTGGTCAGCGGAGAACGATCCCTGTGCGTGTACCCCAATTTCTCCGGGTTCTCAAAACCGGGCTGGGGAACACTGGGAGCAAATGGTTTTTCGCTGATTCCCCGCGCCAGACCTTGGGTTTACCTTCCCCCTAGGACCCATCCTCGCCTGTGAATCCCTGGGATTACAGTTCTGCGGCGCGTGCAGAGTAAAGGGACAAAAACGTGTATCTAGGGAGACAGAAGGGAGAGGAGGACGGGACGTGGGGCACTGTGTCCCCCACTGAGGGGAGCGGGCCCAGGGCAGTACCTGTAGTAATCCTCCTTGCAGTAAATGCTACCGTCCTTGGCGAAGCAGGTGAGCTCGGACTCCAGCGCCAGCTTACATTCACAACACTTCAAGCACCTGAGGTGCCACTGCTTATCCACGGCCAGCAGGTAGTAGCGGTCGGAGATCTTACCCCCGCAACCGGCGCACAGGGCCGGCTTCTCGGGGCTGAGCGGGGGCATCCCCTGCAAGGCAAGCACACGGCCCCGGCTGACTCTCCTCCCGGCAGCGCGCAAAGGGAGTTTGGGGGGCAAACATTTGCAATTTCTGCTCTGCATCGTCCCCCTTTTACACACACACACACACACACACACACTCAACACACACTCCTCTTTTTGCCCAGTCCTGCCTCTCGATCTTGCAGACACTGTGAACTTGAAGACATCGCAGCTGCCCCCAATCTCGCTTGGGAAACAAAAATGATTACAAGTCAGTGTGCGTCCCTCAGTTAGAAGAATTAGATGAACATGGTGGGGTAGTGGTTTTATTTCTCTGTCTCTCTGTGTGTGTGTGTGTGTGTGTGTCTAAGATACAGCCTAAAATCGCATGCACAAAAGAAAACAGGAGGAATCGTTCGTGGGAAGCAGAAAGCAATGTGGAATGTCTGCCTTCTCCGGACGCAAACGATCTTCCCGTGGCGTTTCTCCACGCGCCTGCAGACTGGCGTGGGCATCAAAAGCCCAGGAGCCGCTGTTGTACCTGTGCTCACGATTGGGTCTGGATTGGTGGGCTGGGGGGTGAACTGGGCAGGCTCCTAATTTTCAAGGGCGGCTGTGAATCAAGGATCAAGCCAGCTTCCCGGTCTCCGCGGCACATACACACCCACACACACAGATCTTTGTCCTGAACATGTTTGATGCTCAAATGGACGGTTCCCACCTGGATCCAACGATGGCAAATGTCACCTAGCGCTGGGTTTCTTGTGGCCGTTTACTTTTTTTTTTTTTTCCAGATTGTTACCCACGAAGGGAAGAAGTGAATCGCGGGACCTTTTCCTCCCGACTAGCCGAATTCGGGTTGGGATTGGCGGGATTAGAGCTGTGCAAATGTCCACAGGCCTCCCTAAATTCGCCCCGTTGGCTAGCGGGGTGCTATCCTAAACTCTCGCCTGTTCGGCTTCTAAGTGCGCTCACCGGGGTCGGTTTGAGCTGCGTTTCCTTCCTTCCCAGAGGCAGATCTACAGACAGCGCTGTTTGGAATAATTTCCGGAGACTTCTGCAGTCCCCCGCCCCCCCCCCCGTTCGTAAATAGAGGAATACTTCGATGACTAATGTACATATATATATATATATATATATTAAAGAGGACCAGACTTTTATTACGATGAGCAGCGGTCACACGGGCGGGTGGCTATTTCGTTTTAAGGTTAGGAAGTTCTTGCTTTGGAGGCTGCTCCTGGGCATTTAAAAAAATGAACACCATGCACACGCGCGCGCGCGCGCGCGCACACACACACACACACACACACACACACACACACACACACACACGCGACACCCTCCCCCGGTGGAAAGTCAAGGCAGTTTCACGTCCACAAAGGAACTGAGAGTCAGGATGTCAGAAACTAAAAGCGCCCGCGTTTGGGATGAGGATCCCTGCGTAGCGGGACGCACCGAATGGGGTCATTTCTGGGCCCAGAGTCTAACGTCACCCCGCTCCGGCTGGGTTCGGACGCCTGCGCGCCCAGCCGGCCTTCCTCCTCGTAATTCCCGGCGCCCAGCCCATCCTGCCTTCGGGGCTGCAGCTCTAGCCCGGAGCCCCGGGACTGAAGTTGGGGGACCCGCGGCGGGCAGTCCTCTCCTCTTCGCCTCCCCACCCCAGTACCGCCTGGGGCTCTTCCCGCGTGAGCGAAGGAGAGCTTGGGGTTTCTGGAGCTTAGACACTTCCAGTCCGAAAGGGAGCCTTGCGCCTTTCCATCGCCCCGCCGGCCCCAGTGCTCGGGCGAGCAGCCCCCGCTCACGTCCTCCACCGCGGGCGCCCTGGGAGCCGCCGGCCGCAATCTCCCCGGGCCCGGGAATGGAAGCCCCGGCTCCCGGAGCGCGCCCGGGGCGCGCGGAGACCCGCCCTTGCTTACCGCGTCCCGGCCGTTGAGCTGAGCGCCTTTGGCCAGACGGGCCTCGGTCTTGGATCTGCGCTCCATCTCCTCCATGATCCCTTGGATGTGGCCTCCGGAGATGCCGTGGAAAAGCATGGCTGGGGGGCGGAAAGGACACGAGTTGTCTTCAGCTCGGCACCCCACTATTTCCATAAACACACGTCGGAGACTCCGCTCATCCGCAGGAAAGGGGTCCCCCCAAAAAAGGATCGTAGAGGGCCGCGCGCGCGCGCACACGCGCGCGCGGAGAAGCGCAGCGATGCTTGGAGACGGAAGACCAGAGTCAGGGCGAGGAAAAAAGAGGACAGACCGCGAGGGCAGAGATGTACTTGTGGAGTGGGGGGAGAAAAGGACAGTTTCCTCAAGAAGAAAAAAAAAAAAGATGGAGAAGGGGGGGAAGGAGAAAAAAAAAAAAACAAAAAAAAAAACACTCCCTCGGTGGCCCGAAGGGGAGAACACAAACCAACGCGGGCCGACGGGGAAAAAGTAAGAGAGGCGAAAAGGAACGGAATCTCACCGCGTGGGGAGATCGAGTTACTAATGGGAAACAACTGGGGGCGGGGGGGGGGACAGAGGAGGAAAACAAGATCTGCGGAAGAAAGAAAATAGTTTTGAACACAAAGAAGGAAAGAAAAGGGGGGAAGGCAACCGAAGTGGTGTTTTCAGCGGTCCCGGGCTGCGGGCGCGTTCCCAGTGCCTGTCGGTGGGGTTGGGGACTGGCTCCTGCCCGAGCTGTGTCCAATTTGTTAAGAGACTAAAGCCAGCCCATTTTTGATAATTTAGTAGGAGGAGTTCTCTCCCCGGAGCTGCCACGGATTTTTATTCAGACAACAAAGACCTGTCATACTCCTCTCAACCCCCTGGCGACGGGCAAGCTGGGACAAACATTACAAAGGGGTGGGGGGAGGGAGGGGAAGAGAGAGGGAGGGAGGGTGCCTACCTCTCCCCCTCGCACGCCCGTGTGCGCCTGAACACACACACACACACACACACACACACACACACCTCGGAAGAGTTCTCAGCAGTGTTTTAAAGGGGGTACGGGGTGGGGTGGGGGAGGCGCAAGGGAAACCCTTATTGGCCCACACCCCCGAGGTTATGATCAGACCTGGACTCAGCCTTCTCTCCCCGCCTCTCCCCCCCCCAACAAGAACACGACCAGCCCCAAACTTTGGGTTTCCTTCTGGTTCCCGGGTCAACCTTCCCGCCCCCCACCCCCATCCTTCCTGTCTCGGGACGGTGCGTCCTGCAGCCCGGCCTCGCCCCGGAGCCGCGTCCTCTGCGGTGTAAAATAAAGGGGGGGGGGGGGTTGGCAGGACCTAATCTTTCCAGGGATTATGGGGGGGGGGGGAATGGGAAGCCTAGGAGGGGGAGGACAGGGCGTGGTCTTGCAGACTCGGGTTGGTTAGCCGGTCTGGAAGGAAGGTTGGGGGGCTCTGTGATCTCCTAGCCAGGTCGAGTCTGGGGATGCCGCGCTGCAGATCTGGGGGTCCCCGTGGGAAACCTGTCCACGTGAGGCCGGGATTCGGGACTCGGGCGAGCTTGGCGCGGGCGGCGCTGGGAGCGCGCGAGGCCCTGGCCCCAAGGCTGCAGGACGAGGAGCTGGTAAACCTGGGCGTCCCCCCACACCCGCGTCCCCCACGCCACCCGCGGCACCCGCCCGCAGCACACTTTAGGGGAGGGGGACAGAGAGCGGCAGGGGAGAGGTGACACGCGGGACGGCGGAGCCGGTGCTCGCCAGGGGCGGGATTGTTCCACGGCGCCCCCATTAAAAATGTCCACAGTGCTCTGCTGGGATTCAGTCCCACGCGGTCCCCCGGGGGCCAGACCCGGGCGTGGCCACCAGACCCGGCGGAGCTTTAACCCGCAGCCCGCAGCCGGGCCGGCCCCACGCCAGCCAAGGCCCCCTCGCCCTCCCCACCCCGTCCCCCGGTCTCCCCACCGATCTGCCCCAAAGCTTCTGGGCGAGGGGTCCCCTGAAGGACTCCGAGGAGCCGCTGGGCAGCAGACCCGCTTCCCTCCGCCCGGGGGAGCCCGACGAGCAATTGTAGCCAACTCTAGAAAGACGTGGGGAGCGAAGAAGCGAGGGAAGAAAGGGGGAAGAAGAGGAGAAGGAAAGAAAAAAAAGAGGAGCCTGAGGCTGAAGGGGGACGCAGAATACGATGAATGGTGACTCCCCGGACTTCCTCTCTGCACGGCCCTCACCACCTGTCTCCCACGAACGCCAAACAGACCTCTGCCACATACACCCCCCCCCCTTTTTTGGGTCAGATCACATATAATGCTATTTGCAGACGGGATGCTTTTAAGGTCCTTTGGGTGCCGGAATATAGCTCGTTAAAATGTTTGCTTGCAAAGGAAAGGGGGGTAAAAAGAAGCCAATCAAGTGCATGAAGCTGAATCCAAGCCCCACCCCTCTCCTGGGCTGAGGTACCTGACAGCAGGACAGCTATTTACTGTAAGTAATGTAATTAGCCCATTTGGATAGAAATCAATGAGCTTTTCAAAGCCACGTGTGCACTCGGAGGACCCCTTGGAGGAGTTGAGGCCCCAGCCCTTTCAGAGACAGCAGGTCCTCTCACAAAGAACGGGGCAGACTGCCTTCCCACACACCAGCAGCTCGGCTGACTTTGAGCCTGAGGAGACGCTGAGCCTTCTGCAAGAAGAACACTGTAAGTTAATCGAAAGGAAACTCCCAGCACTAACTCAAGAACCTCAGCTCACCTTGTCCAGTTTCTCTGCTACATCTTTTCCCTACTCCCAAAATAAGGATGTCTGGGGTTGGGTTTAGTTCTTAGACTTCACGCTCAGAATAGTCAAGAGGAACTCGCAAATACCACTCCTTGCTTAGAAGAGATGGAACTTTGGAGATTGTATGAAGGACAGCATAACAACTCTTGAGAGAGAGAAAAAAGCAGAACTTTGTAAAGAGTTGTTAGGGAAGTCCTGTAAGCCTTCCAACCATTCACTCATTCATTGATTCATCTATCACACACACATTTTTAAAAACTAAAATATCAGGTACAGGCAGAACATTAGCTTTCTGCCTTGAACTGGAGCTCTGACTGCTCTTATAAAACTCAGGTTGTAAGTTCCTGGGCCCAGAAAGATTTACTATTTCTCACAAAGAAGAGAAACTGGCAGGATGCTTTCCCCGCTCAGTGAACACAGGAAGTCTGTAGAAAACTGCCCAGGGTGGAGGGAGGGAGGGAGGGAGGGCTGGGGTTTGAGAGGTCTTAGTCAGCTCTACAGACATGCCTCCCAATAGATCCAGCCCAGCCTCCCCTCACAGTGCCTCAAGAACTGAGGGGGGGGTGTGAGATGACCTAAGTATTACTAAGCATTAGGAGGGTGACCTGGAGTGTCCTAACCTTATTGTCTAGGAGCTCCTAGTGACTGCTTAGAATCCCTTCTCCTACCACTTCCCTTTTGAGAGATGCTAACGCTTCCAATAAAGGCTGTTTCTCAGAAGCTTTGCTTCTGGCCAGTGCTCCGGAGAAGGGGCTGGGGCAGGAAATGTCCTCTCTTCTCCCAGCTCTAGGCCGAATGGCCAGCGAGTCTTGTATAAAAGTTACAGCGTTAGATTTGTTAGTCGCTAGGAACAAGTTGCTGCTCAGCAGGGCAGGTGCAGGGGTGAGGGGGGGCAGGTGTCGGAGACGAGGGCTCTGTCTGGTGCACAATCCACCACAGAATATCAAGTTTCCTCTCCAAATTCAAAGCACCCTTTGGCATGGTGGGGCAGATCTCTGGCCTGGTGCTGTCATTCATCAGCACAATTGGACACCAGCAAGGCCCTGGTCGCTTGATAGCTCTCCAGCCTCCCAGCACCCACCCTTGGCTAGCTACTTCGGGAAGGCAGAGGAGACTGCGGTGAGACACACTTTGGCATTTAGAGTTACAAGTAATACAATCTCCATGGAGGTCAGGGGACCTCACGGTAGGGACCTTGTTTAGGCTTGACAGTGCCACTTGGATAAAGGGCCCTAGAGGGAAGGAGGGAAGCATGGAGTGGACGCTGGGCTTCCTCAAGGGCTTGCCCGGCTTCATCCAGGGAACCGGTGGGGTTTTCGCCTGGCGGGGAAAGAGCACAGGTGATTCGAGGTATTTGTGGATCTGAATTCGGCAGGCCATGATCCTGCGCCCCTGAATGTGTGCAGGAAAAGAAGAGCTACCTTAGGGTGGAAATGGGGCGACTCTTGGGAGTCGTGTCCAGCTTCTGGCACTGTGGGGGAGCACCCCCAAGGACGGCAAAAAGCTCAGCCTTGTTTGGGAGGAGGGGTACAAGCGCGTAGAGTGTCCTCACCCGGCCTTGGGCGTCCTGGCTAAGCTGGGTTGCCGGTGGCCGGTGGTCTCGGAAGCACAGCTTCTGCACACTCAGCCGAGCAGCTGCGGGCTGGGCTGCCTCGACTCCAGGCAGATGCAAGCGAGCCCAGCCGCTCGAGGCACGGAACCCCGCCCGGGACCCCCGCAGGCCCGCACCTTCTGCAGGTGCAGGCTCGGCGGACCCGCGCGCTCCTCAAGGCCCCGGCGCGCCGCCACACCGTCCCTACCCACAGGAAACCCCCTGGGCAGCAGCCCACCTCCTTCTTGGCCCCTAGTTTTCCACGGGAACAGGGCTGCCGCCAAGGGCAGAAGAGCGCGGGCTTCTGAACCCCGCAGCTTTGCACGCGAGATCGGCGGCACCATCCCGCGTGCCCCCCACTCCCCAAAGAGAGCATTGTCTCAGATCCCGCCCGAAAAGGGCTGCGCGGGATGAAGAGGGAACAACCATGGACCCGGTGGGGTGAACCCGATGTCCGGGAAAGCCCGGCTAGGGGTGCAAAGGGCGTCTTCCCGGAGGGCTTGCAGCCGAGCGACGCCCCCAGCAGCTCCGCCCAAGGGGTCGTCCACGGAGCTCAATGACACCGTGACCTCTAGCCGGAGACCCTGGGGAAAACATTCAAAGAAAAGAAACAAACAAAAAGCCAGCGTGGCGGGCGAGTGTGTCATTCATTGCACGCGTTCCATTTGGAAGACAAATGCCCCGGCTTCGTGGCGCGCACGCGGGTGCAGACACGCGCGTTGCACGCGGGCCCAGGGCAGGGGCGCGGGGCGCGGGCCGGACCCCCACTCACCTGCCTCGAGGGTGGTGCCGTTCAGCATCCTCGGAGCAAGCGGCGGCTCGCGCGGTCCCGGCGGCTCGCCCTGGCCGAAGGAAAGCGGGCGTCAGCCGGCCAGGGCGCGCGGCCCGGGGCCCCCTCCCTCCCGCTACCCCGTGCAGGCGATCGCTCCCCTCCCCGGGGCGGCCTGGGGACCCCGGCTTCCCTCGTCCAGGCTCTGGAGCCGTCCCCGGGACAGCCTAGCGGTCCCAGCGCGCTCCGGGGACGGAAAGCTGCCGGGACGAAGCCGGTGTCCATCGGGGGAAGCTTACCTCGACGCCCCGGTGTCAGAGGTGTCCCCCCAAGATTTCCGCTGTCCTCGAGGGCGGGCTGGGGGGGGCGTCGTCCAGGGGTGCGGGCCAGCGTCGGCGATCGGAAGAGGATCTCTCTGTGCATCCAAAGAAACCAACTGCTGGGTGAAAATGCTCTCTCTCTCTCTCTCTCTCTCTCTCTCTCTCTCTCTCTCTCTCTCTCTCTCGTTTTAATTTTCCGTGTACGCTTTTCTGTTTCACCAGGAGGAGAGCGGAGGGCGCGCCGGGCCCGGTGCCCGGGACGCGGGGAGGGTGCGCGCAGCCCGGCCGCCTCTCCGGGGTGGGGAGAGGTGTTAATGGAGGGCTCGTAAAGCCCGGAGCATCTCGCGGCTGGCGCGGGGGGGGGGGGGGCTCTGCCGCCCCGCCGCGCGCCCCGGCTCCCCCCTCCCGCACCTCCCCTTCCCGCACCTCCCCACCCCCCCTCCCCTCCCCAGCCTTCGCCTTTCTGGAGCTGGTACCTAAACCACGCCGCCGCCAGCTGCTGCCTGTCTGGCGGGTGCCGGGGAGGCGGCTCCGGCGGGAACCCCGGCTGAGCCCGCACGGCCCGCCCCCCCCCCCCCGCAACGCCTTCCCATCCCTAACCTTCCACGCGTGCCCAGGCCGGGCGCGCTCCAGGGCGGGTGGGGGGGCGGGGTCCCGCGCATCTCGTCCCCTGCGGCCCCTCCAGAGATGGAGGGTGAGACCCCCCCCCCGCGCGCTCGAGCCCCCGTCCGGGGTGGGGGGCGGGGAGAGCAGCGCGACTCCGAACGGGGCGCGGGGGGGGGGGGGGGGCGTTACCTGCTCCCAGGTTCCCGCCGGGCCGCCGGAGGGAGAATGGAGGCGCCGCCGCCGGGGCCTCGGGCGCAGAGATCTACCCGCCGCTCCTCCCGGGGACGGGCTGGCCGCGCGGCCCGGGGCGGCGGGCGGGGGCGCGGCTCAGTCCCCGCGGGCGGGCGGGGGGCGCGCGCGGGGCGCTTCCCTCCCCTCCGTCCCTCCCCCCCCCCCCCGGCGTGCGGCGCTCGCCGTGGCGTGGCCCGCGGGGGTGCGGAGCCCCGGGGCTTCGGTCTCTCCCTCCCCCCCACCACACACCTCGGCCGTCGGCGAAAACTGTGCCAATGGGGTCATGCGGCGAGCAGAGGGGCAAAAAGATCCCAGCACGGCTCCCGACGGACCAGAGAGAGAACACGCCCTCCCCCACTCCCACCCCTGGAACACTTTGCCTTCAGAACCGACCCCACGGCCGGGCGCCCCGGCGAGGAGCCCAGTGTGCGCCCCGACGCCGGCCCGACCCCGCTCCGAGCCCAGGTTGTCAGCTGGCCTGCTGGGGCGGGGGGGGGGGTTCCCCAACTGTTTTAGGTATTTGATAAGAATAAGCCCATCGCACGCACACGCGCGTGCGCTCACACGCACACACAGGCTGGTGCGCGCACACCTGCGCACGCCCTCCGTGCTCATCTGGGTCGGGTGGGGAGCGTGGGATCCATCTGAACCCCGAGCGCCCGGCCGCCCCCGATTCTCCCGCCCCCGGGTGCGCTCGGCGGGGACCAGGGCGAGCCCGGCCGGCGCCGGGGGGAACCGGGCCGGCCCGTGTCCGGCTCCACGCCGCCGTGGGTGCTTTGGCCAATTGGGCTCGGAAACCCGATTCTCCTAAGCAGAACAAAAGGGACCCCCTCCCCCCCATGGAGCCTCAGGGGCTGGGCCTTCTCCTGCAGCAACCGTCATCCTGCCAGTGCCTCCTTCCCCAGCCTAGTCTGGAGTTGACGGCCCTAAGACCCACTGGGCTTTTGTTTGTTTGTGTCGGTCGTGGGGCTCGAACTCTGGGCCTGGGCGCTGTCCCTCAGCTCTTCAGCTCAAAGTGAGTGCTCTACCCCTTGAGCCACGGCGCCACTTCCGGTTTTCTGATGGTTTATTGGAGATAAGAGTCTCACGGACTTTCCTGCCCGGGCTGGTTTTGAACTGTGATCCTCAGATCTCAGCCTTCTGGGTAGCTGGGGTGACAGGCGTGAGCCTCCGGCGCCCCACTGGTTTGGTTTTTTTGTTGTTTGATGTTGGAGCTGTGCGTGCCAAACACATCCTGCCCACACCTTTGGAGAAGAGCTGCTGAGCTGAAAGAGCCCCTTGCGGGGACCCACGGAGGGTCCCCTGCTTGGGACCTCCAGGTGCTGCCTGAAAGAATGAAAGTCCTTCTGCCCTCCCTTGGTCTACAGGAGGCCCTGCCCCGACCCCAGCCCAGGGAAGACCTTCCCACAGCGCAGGCTGGGTTAGAAACAATCTAGAAATCACAGGTCCGCCTTGATTGCTTGCGCCCTGGGACTGGAGGGGTACCAGGGCTGATGGGGGAGATCCGCGCATCCCGTGAGTGTGCGCACACACCCAACACGAAACCGAAATGTTTATTTTACAACGTGCGAATACAATATGGCTTAAACCTCTGGCAGCGAGGCCCATTTATGTGGTTGTATAGCGTTTAACGCGGCAGCACCGCCCCACGCCACCCCGGACTGTGGTTCTTCAGTGCTCTGCACTCTCCGACCCCACTACCAGCCAACTTCAGACCTCTGCCCAGGATCAGGTGCAAGGAAGGCGGAGAAGGGGCCGCGCCGCTCCCCGCGGTTCCTTGGAAGGCCACCCAACAAGAATCACCAGTGCCCACTCGGGAATCCGAATCGCGGGGAAGGCTACCTCCCGGGCCTGGGTCTTGGGCGGCCGGAGGCTGGGAAGATGGGCGGTTGTGACTGATTGCCACCCTCCAAGGGGCTTCCTCAAAACTGGCCTTTCTCAGGAGTCTTTTTCAAAATGAACTCTTACTACTTCCCTAGTTCCATTTCCTTTTCTTTTCTCCTCTGTGACTGCCAAAGAGAGTACCATCCCCTGCCCAACCACAACCTCACCTGGCTGGCCTTCAAATCGAGTCGGGGAGGGGGGACAGAGGGACGGAGGGGGAGGGGGGAGAGGGGAAGGGAGAGAGAGATTGAGTGTGGAGTGTGAATGGAGGCAATGGGTTGCTTCTTGACCTAAGAATATTCTAGGAACTGGCTCCCAAGGAATCTTCATGTCCTTCTGGAAAGATTAATTGCCTCCATGCTCACAGTGCCAACTCCTCTAATTCCTTCCCCTCAAAACACAAGGCACAAGGCCAGGCCACGAACACCTAACTCAGCTCATCATGGCCAGAGAACTTTCCTGGGGGTACAAAATTGCCAACAGTTTTGGGAGACAATTTAACATTAGATATTTTTTTTAAGTCATAAGTAAAGGAAATACGCAAATTCCTAGGCTTCTTTTTTTTTTATCTATTTTTACAATTAAACAAGAGCTTTTAGTTTGAATTGAATGTGGTAGAAGGCACTAGAACTCTCTGGTTAGCTAAAACCTGAAAGCTTGGTGTAGTCTGAAGGTCTGGGGCAACTCCCCCCCCCCCAGCACCCCACAGCTGTTTCCGTAAAGGGAAGGGGAAAAGTGAAGGTCAGCCTTCTTAAAGGGCTCAGCTAGCCAAGATGTGTGAAAAACCACTGTTCTCAGGGCCAAGCAAGAAGGTCTGGGAAGAAAGGTCGACAGCATCTCCTCACTCAGCTTGGAGACTGACCCCTCCCAGGAGGATGACCACAGTGAAAAAGTAATCCAAGGTTCAAGGGGAGACTCACACAGGAAATGGTAAAAGAAACGGAGGAGGAAAGGGTGGCAGAGAGGAGATTTGACTTCAGTGGCCCATCCCCTCAAGTCAAGAGAGTGTCAAGATTTTATTGAAGGAGCCATGGGAGGTTGAGAACATCTCATGTCGCAGAATGGTGCTTCTCTGGGGCATTCATCTGTCCAGGGCATGATATCAATCCAGTGAGGAATAAGCTCCACCATTTGCCAGTAACTCTTGGAATTCTAACATGGACCAAACAGTAAAAGAACAAGGACTGAGGAAAACCCAGGGCTACTCAATGATCCCACAGCTACTCTGCTTTTCTGGTACAGCCATTACTTTTCTTTCTTCCACATGTGATTGATCATGAAGCAGGATAGGAAAATAATTACCAATCTATCCCCTCAGAAACACACTGCATGTGTGACATGTTGTGAGTTTATTTATGTTGTTGGTGTTCATTGACTAACAACATAGAAAGCATGTGGTTTGGAGCTTTCTTTATTAAATAAAAGTTCAGTTAGAGAACTGCAATTGTGTCAAACATAAAAATAAGAATTGAATTGCTTCTTTTTGGATGGATCTTTGACATTGACTTGACCATACGGACACTGAAAAAGAAATCAAACAAATGATTATTGCATCATGTAACCATTATCTCTAAAAAGCACACATTTCATGGTAAACAGAAGACACTACTTAAGGAGGTTGTGTAGACCATTTGATCTATCAAGTCTTGAACCCTGAAGAGACTGAACGGTAACCTCAGGCAAATGGTCCTAATTAGGGTGCAGGAGCCATTTCCGAAATACATCCTTCCAACTTCAGGAATTTTACTGTCAAACACCACTCTTTAAAAAAAAATCCTTAGGTCCTCAATTTACACAAAGCTCTTACGCATTTGATTAGAAACAGCTAATGGCACAGGTAGGAAAACACACTGAGTTTTTCAAGAGTATTTACATTTAGTGTCTATTCCTTAATTATAAAGTGGTCCAGCCAAAGGAAATAACACCTTCTTGCAAAGAAACATAAAAAGAGCTCTGCAAGTAGAGGGTATCTGTTTATAATCTTAATCTTAAAGCAAGAAAAAGAGGGGAGGGAGGAAGGGAAGGGAGAAAAAGGGAGGGGGACAGATGGAGGAAGAGAAGAGGGCTGGGAGACAGAAAGAGGGAGGGAGACATATAGAGGAAGGGAGGGAAGAAAAGAGGGAAGGAGACAAGGAGATAGAAAAGAGAGAGGGAAGGGGAGAAAGAGAAGAGTACTAGAGGAGGTGAAGAAGGGATGAGATAAAAATCTCAATCATTTGTAGGAAACTCCCTTCTCAATGCTGGGCAAATTTCTATTTGTTCAGATTAATAAAAGAAAAATAAAAAGCTTTCGAGGGTCTAGTCTGCAACATGCTTGATTTCTTTTCCTGCTTTCTTTGTACCTGCCTAATGAAGCCAACTTATTTGAAACTTCATGAGTTTCCTTGTAATAAAGAGCTCCTATGAATTTCTTTTTGAGGGTCTGATGCTTACTTACAGGGAAACACTACAAAGTTCCATTCACTTTAAAGGCCCTAGGTTGGTACTAAGGACTTCATTGTCCTTTGATAAAGCAGCTTGTGAAAAGTGCACTCCAGGTCTATTTTCGCTTTTTATTTGACTTGTTTTTCAAATAATAGGTATTTACGAAGTTACAGAAGCTGGGCATACTGCTGCTGTAACGTGGGAGTTATTACTCAACTCACGTGTCGGCAGGCAGAGCCACAGCAAGAACCTCTCTGCAAGTGAGCCAGTCTTGTGAACACGGCAAGGCCGGTAGCAGGGTCGGCGTAGCTTAGCTGGCCAGCCTGCAGAGTAATACAATAAAGCGATTCATTAATCTTCATTAAGGTTCATCATATCTCCTCAACATAGTCTCTGCTCCTAAAATACTGCAAAAATAATTTTTGGAAAAGTTTTAAATTTCTTCCCAGCAATTTAAACTGCACCTGCAATTACAGACTGAATGCATTTTGACATTTTACACTGTTTAAGTCCATATGATTAAAGGAGAAAATATATCGTTTGGGGGGGGAGAAGTTAATGGAAAAACAAGAACTCCTCTATACCTAGTAACTATGTGGCTTCTGCTCTGAGATTTTTCATTTGGTTTCTCAGTAACAAGCTTAATAACAGATGATTTTAAGAGCCTAAGAGGCTGAAAATGAACTTTCACTCAGAAGTTGCAGTTGTAATTTCACTACTTACAATATGGGGATAATGATTTAGACTTACAGAGAGGTGCTAATCAAAACCAACAGTCCTTATAGGAAACCATTCCCTTCACTCTTATTGAACACTTTTCTATACCTTCATGATGCATTACTCCACTGCACGTTTTACACGTTTTCTTTTTTCCTCCTGGACTGCTATTAGCTCCATTTTGAAGTGAAAAAGTAATGTTGTAACCTATTAACATTCACGGCTTTCAGAAGTTTGATGAAAAGCAGCGTTTAGTAGGCTACTTTAAATGTTGAGAGATGTCTTCTACCTGCATCTAAATGCAGTTAAAAAATTTGCAGTACTTAGTGTCAAGGTGAAGGTAAACTTTTTAGAACTTCTGTGGATCTGGGTCATTTGAGAGATAGTAGCCTTGAGATTTTGTTGAGGAACTTTCCCATGGGCTTTCTATATAAGCCTTAAGTATTAGTAACTCAAGAGTGCCACTCCTGGACAGAGCTTCTTCATGAAAGTACATGTGAAACTAGCCTGCCTTCTGACACACACACACCACATTCTTTACCACTTAGGAATGACTTCTTCCATTATATAGTGTCTTATTTAATGGTGAGTATTTTATTCTGGTTGAGATTTTGAACCATGTTTTGTGTTAAAAAAAAAAAAAAAGCATCCAGCAAAAGGATGAAGTTCAAGTGTAGGTTTACTCTGAGACCTTCCAGCACAGCCAGACCCAGGCAGCAGAAATTCAGTTGAGTCGGCAGGTCTCAGAGGCCTCCTAAATCCTCGGGATCACAGAGCACATTCCATGAAACCTGGGGCACAACCACCCGTTGGCAGCGTGACTGATTGATTATCAAAGGACTTCACTTTGTGGCAAGAAAACAGGAAAGCACTGAAACTTCCTAGCACTTTTCTCCCATGCCAGCTTCTCAATGTTTGGCGAGGGCCAGGCGCACGCGCGTGCCTCGGGCATTCTCTGAGAATGGAGCCCTCGGAGCCTGCTGGCCTCCGCACACTTACTCTGCCCTCAGCAAATGAGCCTCAGATAATCCAGGCTGACGGCAGAGATTCAGGGGGTGCCCATCCATCCTGGGAGAAAGGCAAGGAGGAGCTGTGTGCCCGTGCCACGGAGCTCTGATTGGCTGGGGGGAAAACACCAGCCAGCTTGCTATTGGGTTTGCTCAGTGGTCTCCAGCACAGCCACCGGGCCTGCGATCGTGACACGGGTGAAGAAACACGTGTGAGTGCCCCAGAGAGAGGGGGAGAGGGAGAGACACAGACAGACAGAGCCAGAGCGAGAGAGACAGAGAGTGAGACAGAGGGAGCCAGAGCCAGAGAGGGCCAGAGAGACAGAGACAAAGCGAGACAGAGAGCCAGACAGAGCCAGAGCGCCAGAGCCAGAGAGCCAGACAGAGCTAGAGCCAGAGAGAGAAACAGACAGACAGACAGAGACAGAGTGAGACAGAGAGACAGAGCCAGAGCGGCCAGAGAGAGAGAGAGACAGAGACAGACAGACAGACAGAGACAGAGCCAGAGAGGGCCAGAGAGAGCAAGACAGAGCCAGAGAGAGACAGACAGACAGAGCCAGAGCTAGAGAGACAAAGCGAGACAGAGAGACAGACAGACAGAGCGAGACAGAGAGCCAGACAGAGCCAGAGCGCCAGAGACAGAGAGCCAGACAGAGCTAGAGCCAGAGAGAGAAACAGACAGACAGACAGAGTGAGACAGAGAGACAGAGCCAGAGCGGCCAGAGAGAGAGAGAGACAGAGACAGACAGACAGACAGAGCCAGAGCCAGAGAGGGCCAGAGAGAGCAAGACAGAGCCAGAGAGAGACAGACAGACAGAGCCAGAGCGAGAGAGACAGAGACAGAGCGAGACAGAGAGACAGACAGACAGAGCGAGACAGAGGGACAGACAGCCAGAGCCAGAGAGAGACAGAAACAGAGACAGAGAGGAGAGAGAGAAGGGACAGTCCTCATCTCTTTGCACACTGCTGGTGTTTGCTCCAAGGCGCGCACACGCACTCGCACACACGCGCACAGGCTCCCTGCACACCAGCGTCCGGCCATCTCCGCAGGTCCCTGGCCCTGTGGCCGCGCGTGGCGGCCCGGGGGAGCCGGCCCGGCCGGTGACGGGGCTGGGGGAAAGGCCGAGGACGCGGTGTCCGGAGGGGCTCGGCCGGGAACTCGCCGCCTACCGACGCCCGCGGACGGCGCGGGCCGGCACGGCGCGGGGGCTCCTCCCTTCCGCACCCCGGCCGCTCCGCTCCCCGCAGGACCATGCGCCAAGGCCCTCGTCGGCCATCCGTGCGACCCCGACTGGACAGGACGGCGAGGGCGCGGACGAAGCGAGGCCGACCGCGGACGCCCGGCCTCCTCGCGGCCCCGGGGTCCGGAGGGCTGGGGGAGGCCGGCGCGCAGGCGCACGAAGCGCGCACGGACCGGGTAGGAAGGGGTGCGGGCAAAGGAGGTGCGCAGGCGTACTGGGCATGCTCGGGGGGGGGGGGGGTCCAACCGGGCGCGCATGCGCACAGACCCGGAAGGAGGGAAGCCTAACGAGGTGCGCAAGCGCACGGAGCGCGCGGACCCTGAGAGTGAGCGGCAGCGGCCGGGAAACGCGCGCATGCGCACGGAGGAGCGCGCAGCTCGGGGGCCTCACCGCGCACGCGGCTTCGTGCAGCTCCACAATCCGCCGCTCCGCCGCGGTGAGCGCTCGGCGCTCCGGCCGCCCCTCGGGCTTGCGGGTCGGGGGGCCGCCGCCGTCTCCCTCGGGAGCCGAGCACGGGACGAAGCAGAGCTGCTGTTGCCAACCTCTCCGGACGCCGAGAGCCGGAGGCCGCCTCCCGAGCGCCGCGCCCGCCAGCGCGGGGACCTGCCGGGCCGCCATGGCCGGCGCGGGGCTGCGGAGGCGGAGCGGCCGCGCGGGGCTGCGGGGGCGCGGGGCTGGGCGGGAGGCGGAGCGGCCGGCGCGGGGCTGCGGAGGCGGAGCGGCCGGCGCGGGGCTGGGCCGCGCGGGGCTGCGGGAGGCGCGGGGCTGGGCGGGAGGCGCGGGGCTGGGCGGGAGGCGCGGGGCTGGGCGGGAGGCGGAGCGGCCGGCGCGGACGGGAAATAGAAGGCTCGCTCCTTCCTTCCTTCCCCCTCCCTCCCCCTCCCCCTCCCTCCCTCCCCCCCTCCCCCTCCCTCTCTTTCCGTGTCGCCCAGGCTGCTCTTGAACTCACATCCTCCCGCCCGGCCTCCCGTCCGTGCCGGGCAGCTTGACACGGACCTCTAAGGCCTCCGAGGAAGCGCTCGGGCAGTGCAGTTTTTGTGCTTTTCTTTTTGATTTCTCCTGTCAAAGTAGACTTCATCCGGCGAAGCCACACCCGTTCAAGGCCCCGCGATCCCTACCCAGGGAAGGCCGAAGCCCTCAGAGTGCCTTCGTGGCTTGGTTCTTTGGCTCGTCCTCAGAATTAGAAAAGGTGCTGTTTTCCTAGCTTAAACATTTGCAGAAATCCCAAGTGGAATTTCTGCTTTCTGTCTGAAAGGTCGTGGATGTCTTTATGCCCTCACGAAGTTCGTTATGAGGAAATGATCATTTCCGGTGATAGAATTAATTAATATCTCACCCCCTCGAGTTTGAAGAGGAGAGTTGAAGAGTAACAATTTTGGTTCTTCATAGGGAGAGCTGAGGGCAGAGGAGCTGATTTTGAGGGCATAAGTAGAATTTGTGATCTATCCAAATCGCTGGGATGGAGCTCAGGGCCACAACAAGCCTTTACCAAAATAGCTACTTTAGACCACCAGTGTCCCTGTTACGCTATCTACAACTCTGTAAGCTCATTGAGATTTGTGCAGGACTAGAACTCAGTGCCTGGAGCTCTTGTTTTACTCAAGGCTGGTGCTCTACCCCCGCTCCACTCCTGTGTTTTTGGTTGTTAACTGGAGATAAGAATCTCTTGAAGTTCCCTGCCTGAGCTGGCTTTGAATCTTTTTTTTTTTGGGGGTCCGGTCATGGGGCCTGAACTCTGGGCCTGGGCGCTGTCCCTCAGCTCTTCAGCTCAAGGCTAGCGCTCTACCACTTGAGCCACAGCGCCACTTCCGGCTTTTTTCTTTTTGCTTATGTGGTGCTGAGGAATTGAACCCAGGGCCTCTGGCATGCAAGGCATGCGCTCTACCACTGAGCCACCTTCCCAGCCCCTGGCTTTGAATCTTGATCCTCTCAGATCTCTGCCTCCTTAGTAGAGAAGATTACAAGTAGGAGCCACTAATGCCACGTTTTTACTTTTTAAGATTGGACTGAAACCGTCCTATTGATCGACTAAAAATCCCAGCGATTTAATAAATGGGAATCTTATTTTGCAGATGTTTTGTTGTTAATGGGAAAACTCAGTGTGCTGAAAAAAAGAGTTTAAATCCTGGAAAGTTAGGATAGAGACTACAGAAGGCTATGAAAGTGCTAGAAGCGAGACCAAGTTTGCAATCACCAGCAGTACAATTAAAAAAGAATACACCTCTCCTTCAACCAAAATGTCAAAGGAAACAAAGTTTAGCGGTTCAGATTTATTGAACTGCCTTTAAAAGTGAGGTTAGGGGTCTACAAATAGGTTATGACAAATATTCCAAGAATGAAGATAGAACTTTCAGGAAATGAAAGAGTAGGAACCAGATTTAAGTGAAAAACCAAGGGAGCCACGTTAGAAAGGAACATACTACTTGCAACTGTTTTGGTGGAGAGGAGAGAGAAATCACTGTATAGGTACTGAACCCAAAAGACCTCTGTGGTGATGTAATAGTTCTCTAAATCTTGACCATAATAACACACACATTTATAAGTGACCTTATAGGCTGTTCACACACAATGCAGCATTGCTCCAATGCAGATCACTGGTCTTCATATTGTAAGTATGGGAGGTAAATCCTTGTGTAATAAAGAACCTCTCTGTACAAAGAAATATGCAACTTCTTATGAATCTTAACTTTTAGGTTTTTAAAACAATAATAAAGATATAGTGGTACTCATTACCTTACTCATGTAACTTACCCCTCTGTACAGTATTTTTACAATTAAAAAAAATGAAAAGAACCAAAGAAGTACAGGTACTTTGCAAGAATTTCAGGGATCTACTAAAAGACTAAACTTAGAAATCATGGGCATAGAAGTGGAGCTGTGGTGGTCCAAATTGGTAGAGTGTTAGCCTTGAGCAAAAGCACTCGGACAGCACTCAAGCTCAAAACTGACACATACACACACAAGGAAGAGGAAAGAAATGGTAATATATGAAGAGAAATGGTGACTAAAACCATAGAAAACATTCAGTAGAGCAGTAGCAGAACAATTACCAAATTCTGAAGAAGAGAAACTCCTTGGGGCCTTTGGAACACCCAATAGCCAAGATGAGAAAGGGACCTCTCAAGAGGAGAGGGGTAGACGAATGAAGAGGAAGAGTGGAAGGATGTATGCATGTGGTGTGTGAGTGGTAGTAAGAGAATTGAGGGGTGGATGGGGTTGAGAGAAACACGAGAAAATGATTGAATGTATGATGATCAAGATACACTACTCAAACCAACATGCTGAAATAAAACTTTGTATGCCTACGTGAAGTTAATAAAATTATAAAAAAGACTTAGTGGTTTTGGATTACTTGGTGAAACGTCACTGGATTAAACAGAGTCCTCTTTCCTCATCTCCTGCATTCCTAGGTTGAAAGTCATTCTGAGCTGGGAGGATATAGTTTAGGCCTCTAATCCTGGCAGTGAAGCCGAGGCAGGAGCGTCTCCACTTCCAGCCTAAGCTACAGACTCTTGTCTAAATAAATTTAAAAATTCCCCCACTGGAGTGCTTCAACACCTCAGGGAATCCAAGCTGAGAAATCTCTTCTGTACTGTTCACGTTTGCACTGTGTATACTCTTAACTCTATAATCTATGTTGGAAACCTGTAGAGTAAGAAGATGAGGAAAGTGTCTCTTAACACTTCTCAAATCCTTGGTGATTTGATGACAGTAACACGTTCTGAGCAGATTCTCTGTCCTCTTCAGGTTTTATTTGATCTTGAGTGGGAAACATCTAGTTGTTTTTTTTTTTTTTTAATGAAGCATTTACATTGAAATTTGCTGTAGAAAGGTGTGTGTGTGTGTGTGTGTGTGTGCTGCAATTCTACTTGTAATATGATACAGGTTGTTTCCTAAGCCTTAATTTAGGATGAGGTCTGTTGATAATGAACATACTTGTGGTGCTTGGGGGGGAGGGTAACTTTCAGGGAATTGGGACTCCCAGCATGTCTTTTACATTAATGTGTATGCAAGCATGCACGTGTACCAATATTGGAGTTTGAACTTAGCACCTGAGTGCCATCTCAGCTTTTTACCCAAGGCTGGATCTATACCACTTGAGCCACAGCTCCATTTCTGCTTTTTGCTAGTTAATTGGAGATAAGAGTCTCATGGACTTTCCTGCCCAGGCTGGCTTCAAACTATAATCCTCAGATCTCAGCCTCCGGAGTAGCTAGGATTACAGGCATGAGCCAGCAACACCTGACCATTTATATTAATTTAAAACAGTTATGGTAGGACTCTCCAGGATTCAAGATGAACATATACAATTATATAGCTCAATCTGGCTATAACAAAAGGGATGTATTTGTGTGTGCAGTTATGCATATGTGGATATTTATGTGCACATACATCCATGTACACACACCAACATGATGGCTCACTTGCTGTAGGCGTCTATGGCCACTCATACTTTTTTCTGCTTTGCCTCTTCTGGTTTAATTCACTTTTTTTTTTTTTTTTTTTTTTGGTCATGGGGCTTAAACTCTGGGCCTGGGCACTGTCCCTCAGCTCTTCAGCTCAAGGTGAGCATTCTGCCACTTGAGCCACAGCACCACTTCCAGTTTTCTGGTGATTTATTAGAAATCAGAATCTCACGGATCTGCCTGCTAGGGCTGGCTTTAAACTGCGATCCTCAGATCTCAGCCTCCTGAGTAGCTAGGATTACAGGCGTGAGCTACCAGTGTCCAGCGTGGTTTAATTCACTTTTCAGGCAGACTTTTTTCTGCATTGGTGAAGGATGGCTGCACACAGTTCCTATGTGTCTTCGACTCTCATCCCTCTCAGAGAGAGAAGAACCTATGAGGAGGCACCAGAGCTGGAGCAGTTTTATTCTCTCCTGGAAGTCTGAACAGCCATGTCTGCATCCTAGGCACATTCATGAACCGATCACCAGTACAGGTCACAAAACCAGCAGGGCTGTCCTTTCATGGCCGGAAGTGGCCTGTGTTAGTGCAGAGGGCAGAGATAAGCAAATCCACTCTAGTATCAGCTTCAACAGCAAAATGATTTTCTGCAGCCCCGTCAGTCTATTGGGTGGTTTTAGTATGGAAATGTTCATCAAGCACAATATGCTCCCCCAAACTGCCTTCTGGTTCCCCTCTGGAAGAACTTCCTTTGGTCTCTGGTAGTGCCATTTTAGTTTTTTATCCAGGGATTTTTTGCCATTGTTTTCTCCAAATACCATAAACCCAAACCAGTGGAAGGTGTTGTTTTCGTTGTCTCCGCAGCCCATCCCCTGCGCTTTTGTGTAGTGCTGTGGTTCCCACTGAACAATGACAGATTCCTCATTGTGTAAGTGACTCAGAAGTACTTCATTCTTAAATACATATTCCTAACAAATGGACAGTGTCATATGAAAGTTTAATTTTCTATACATAATATTGGACATTTGCAAATAGGTTAGAATTTCATGCTTTTGAAGAGCGAAGTGAAAAATATTAACTCTGAAGTCATTCTCAAGCACACTGAATTATTTTACTGACAAGACAGATGTGTACATTGTGAAATGATTTGGTCTGAATTCTGGAAATGCGACTGCTAATTGACTTTACGTGTTATCTTTTAATGAATGAGAC